TGAATGAGATATATTTAGAAAGCAGTGTGTGTGTTTTTCATCACCCGTTGATGGAAGCTGAACTTGCATCTCTCCGTTCTCTGGAGCAGGGATGTGAAGGATAAGGGAGGCGGTCCTGACCTGCCACACAGAGTTGGTGGAGGCGCAGAGAGATACGGGGGGCGTCCTCCCCGCTGGATTGCTGCACTGTACTGCACGGGGGGCTGCCTTTGAAGGCAGTCCAGGAGCTTCACTTAACGCAAAGCAGAGCCGGGACTGGCCATGTGGTCCAGTGATGCCGGTCCACCAAGCTGTGGGTCCTGCTCTTTAAAGTCTGACATGGTTTGGGGTTAGAGTATCTAACAAAGCATTTCCTCCCCCATGTACAAGTTCGGTGCCTTGTCAGTGGTGGCACCCTGTGCGAGCATAAACTCGCCAAAAAGATTTACCTGGCATCTGCACACCTATCTTTTCAGCACAAGTCAAAGACCGTCCTTTTTTCCCAGGCATTTCTGGGACCGAGTTCTAGATTATTAAGGCCATTTTACTGATTTCTGGGCTGCCCAAGTTTAGTAATACCATTTTTTTAAAAAAAGTTTTGGCTGTATTTTAAAGTGGCACATCCTTTTTTGGATCGGTTGCAGTCCACCCAGAGGATATTAATTATGTGGTGGATTATGAAAGTGCTTCACTAAATCAGGCTGGATTGCACGCTAGTCAGGCACAGTTGCAGCTTCGAGGGTGACTCTGTGCTCTCCACGGCGCGCGCCGGGATCCGGGCAGCCTACTCCTTCCCTGCCCTGTCGGCTGCTCCACGTGGGCAGAAGTCGGCAGGGAAGCCCCTCTTACATTGTTTTTCCTCTTCCCATGGAGAAGAGAAAATGGAGAAGGTAATAATGTTTTGGTGGGTTCCTGAGCTCATCTAAATGTCCCCTGTGCAGGGGAGATAAGATCCATGGCCCTTCTGTTTGGGATGGAAACTTTCCCTAGGCTGGAATGGACATTGGTACTTAATGCCATAGGACCACGTAACTTGCCGGCGTAAGGGCTGCGGAGAGAGCCAGCCAAAAGCCAACCTTTTCTACAAAGATTGGCATCGACATAAGAACTTTGGTAACCCAGACTGATTGCCTACACATAATTCTTGTGAAACAAGCACATTTCATGTTGCCTTCCTGTGATGGACTGCAGAAGAAGCACTTGCTAATTGTAAATCTAATATTGAAGGGGTCAGAGCCAACTTTAGGACTAGCAGAACTGGCAAAAAGTGTGGTGTTTGCATAGATCGGAGAAAATGGCCAATATATAGTTACTACTCAAGAAACGTGGTTCCTGTTCATTAATTCTTCAAAGAGCACATATTCTGTGAATACCCTTCTATGCGGTGTTTGTCTGTTACATAACCTGTGTTATTAGTTTGGATATCTGTTTACATAGGGACTAGTCTTCATGAAATAAGCCCATCAGTGTCTCGCCCACCCCAGTACGTTGCCAGGTGATCTGTGCCAACATGAGTAATTTATGATGCACGGACGGCTTGTGGAGAAAAGGGGAGAATACTGTCTCTTCCATCATTTCGAGGTTGGTTGTCCAGGAAGCCAACCTTTACTCATCCTAGGGAACGTGATGACGCCTGGGGTTGGCGCCACAGATGTATTTATTTATTTAGAGTTTTTGTATGCCATCCCTTCGCTTATAGCCTCAGGATGGCTCACACAAATAAATAAGCATGATACAGAATACAATTAAAATCCGGAAACACCCTGGCTGCACAGTTAAAACCTATAGCTATTAAGCATTGTTAAAATATTCTTTAAATAAAAAGGTCTTAGCCTGGCGCCGAAAAACAAATAATGACGGCGACAGGCGGACCTCTCTGGGGGTCCACATTTCCATGTGTACAAGAAGGGACTTGTCTACAGCAGTGGATTTTAACCGCCGGTCCATGGACTGGCAGTGGTCGGCCGGCATTTCCTGGCGGTCCATGACAGAGCCGCTGCCGTGCTCACGCATGACAGCCGCATCTCGCTGGCCAGGTCCAGTGTGGGTCTCGCTGCGCTCTTGCTGGGGGCACGGGGACCTGAGACTGGGCCTTTTCCTTTCCCTGGGGAGGGAAATGCAGAGGCGGGATTGTGCTGAGCGTGTTTTCTCAGCCAGCCTGTGCTGGTGTGTATAGGGCTTTGAGTGGAGGGAGGGGTTCATTGTATTTCAGTATTTAAAATTATGAATATTATTGTATTAAGTAACTTTGACTGATTTTGTATTGCTCTGATGCTAATATTGTATTTGAATTCACATTTGCTATCAGTTTAGTATTGCATTTATATTGATTTTGTATTTTGTTATTGTAAATTTTTGATTGAGTGTTCTTGAAAAGAAGCAACAGCAGATTTCACAGTAGCCTTATTGAATTACATATTGCTCTCTAAAAATTTCCATTGTATCCAATTACATTTAAATTCAGTATTTTACTCTTTTATTAGCATTTTTACTGCTCAGTTTCTGGTTATTTTAGAACATTTCCATTTGTTGATACTATATTTAAAAATGAATACACAGAATACTGTATTATATATATAATCCTTTTTATTTCTCTCAGCGGTCCCCAAAATAATTTTCCTTTTTTCCGGTCCCCAACTGTAAAAAGGTTGAAAACCACTGGTTACTGCATATGCTAACTCAGTATTCCCCAAGCCAGTGCCCTGCAGAAGTGTTGGATTGCAACTCCAATCACCTCCGTCCAGTGTGGGAAAGGTTGTGGCACAGCACAGCACAGGAGAAGGACACTTAAATCCAGATACCTTTTCCCACTTGCACAAGTGGAAGCTTCAGCATTTCATAGAAACACAGAAACTGAGCAAGTCAGATGGGGTCTCCCGGGCCATCTAGTCTTATTCCTGGCTCCAGCCAGCTCCGCTCACGACATGCCCACCATGGGCATGTCCAGTCTGTCCTTGAACACCCTCACCGATGGGGCTTCAGCCACCTCTCGTGGAAGCCCAGTCCACACCCTCGGGGTCCTAACTGTCAGGAAGTACTTCCCGGCATCCAAATTGAACGTTGGTTCCCTGCGCTTGGCTCCATTGGAACGCATCCTGCCCTTCTCTGCAGGGGAAAACAGATCCCTACCCACCTCTATGTGGCACCCCCTCACATACCTATAAGTCGCCAACAGATCCCCTTGAAGTCTCAGAACCCTGAAGTTTCTTCTCCAGGCTGAAGAGACCCCGTTCCCTCAGTCTCGCCTCATACCGCTTCCCCTGCAACCCGGCCACCATCGTTGTGGCCCTTCGCTGCACCGATTCCAACCTGGCTTTATCTCTTCTGTAATGCAGAGCCCAGAACTGAACACAATACTCCAGTTGCGGGCGCACCAGAGTCGTACAGAGCGGCAGTACCGCCTCTCTCGATCCAGAAGCCGTTCCAGCAGAGCTTGTTGTCGTTTTGTGCTGTGCTTCACAGGCATTCGTGCCTCAGCGGAACTCGCTCTTCCCCGCTGCCCGCGGTGCTCTAGGTTCACCCGGATATAAAACTAACCCAGTGTGTAGGCAGATATTGTTGAAACTCATGAAATACCAGCATAATATTTGCCCTTGAGAATCCCTCTTGTTCCTCTGCCTGTGGGGGCCCCCATGTTTCAAGAAGCCTACCTTGAAAGGTGCTTTGTTCTTAACTATTTCAAAGACATTTTCATACACACGCCTAAGACTTCTAAGACATTAGAGAGCATTGATGGAAAGATAACAGAATGATAAATTTGGATGATGCAGTACTTTGTTCTTGTGTATTATCACCAGGCGTTTGTTCTCCCCTTTCTTGCACCAAGGATAAGTTGCTGGTTGAGCCTCAATCGATGCATCCTGATTTTTGCTTGGCGTTCTTCTTTGGTAGGATGCTGTGCAGGCTGCCAGGAACTTCCTGAACGATGCTGTGCAGTGGCTTATATGTTTGCTTATGAGTCACCTTGCTATTAAAAGCATCCAAGGAGACCTATTGTCCGCCCAGTGCGATTGCTGGTGGAAAGGGCATCCCGTGGGCAAGCGCTGGGTGGGCAGCTTTGCAGTGGTGTGATTTGGGGGATGGGATTCAACGACCATGAGCAACCCCCTCCCCACAAAGAGAGCGAGCTGCACTGACCTCGTCGGAGAGCCCCAAACCCCATGGGCTGCTGCTTCTCAGAAGCTGTCCACATTAATGTTCTTCTAAGCAGCTATCAGACATCCATGGTAGCTAAATGGAATGAGAGCACCTTCCCCCTTCCCACCTGCCTGGTTGCTGAGGTCATTGGAGGGCCTGCCGTTGGTGGGTCTGAATGGGCCTGTGGACCAACTGGATCCCCACAGCCCCGTGCAGAGCCTTCAGTGGGGTGACCCCCTTTCGGTGCAGCTCCCCACCTCCGGAGCTCAGGCAGCTCCCCCACGCGGCTGCTTCAGAATATCCCCAGGCCGCCTGCGCTTCCGGGTTCCCTTGCTTCAGGTGTGGCTTGCTCTGCGCAGCAGCGGCTGGGGAACATGGGCAGGAGGGTGCTGCCCTCCTGGCCATCCTGCGCATTTCCTGCGGGCAGCTGGTTAGCCGCTCTGTGAACAGGATGCTGGGCTTGATGCCCCCCTTTGATCTGGTCCGCCGACCTTTTCACATGCTCTTGTGCTCGACCAGCCACAGCTCTGCTGATACCCTGTTTTTAAAAGAACATTTGCTGTGCTCCTTTGTTCTTCTTATCAGTGCTTTGGAATCTGTTAAGACGCAAAGCAATATGGTGAATTAATCCATGTCCAGGGACAATCTCTGCTGGGGCTGCTTGTTGGCTTCAGACGGCGTCTGCTCGGCCACTGCTGAAGCAGGACGCTGGACCAGGTGGACTGATGCACAGGGGTGCTTCTCATGTTACCATAATTTAATCACACAATCAAGAAAATACTTATTTGGTCAGATATGGAGCTGTTCTTTATATGAAGATCCTTGATGCCTTATAATTTAGCATGAAAGCGCCAGCTAAACGTCTCTCTCCCTCTCCATTCCAGGCGATATAAGTCTACTCCGGTGTGTGCCGACCTGCAGAGCAAAATCTTCCAGTGCTACCAGGAGAATTCCCAGCAGACACTCACCTGCTCGGCCCTGGCCAGCGAGTACCTGAAGTGTGTCAATCACGCCAAGCAGGTGGGTGCTGGAAGCTGCCCGAGGGACCCCAGGCTGTGTTCCGAGGGGTCTCCCTGACCTTGCCGGCGGTTTCCTGGCTTTGATCATTTTCTAATGCACTCGTCCTCTTCTGCTGTGTTGCTCTTGGACTTGGCCCCTTTTGCCTTGTGTTTGGATGTTCTCCCCATTTAACTTCCATTCCTCAGTTCAGGATTGTTGCTCTGACCGATACCAGGTAAATGGAGCCACAGGGGCAAAGGCTGGGTCCAGGTAGCCTACCTTTCGTCCCTTTCGGCCACGCTCGAGTCGTGCTGCTGCAGATCTCGATTCTAGCACATTTTGTCAATTCTGTACAAAATGGCTTGGCAGCCTCCTCCTCAGATGCCAGCACCCCCCTCGGCCCCCTGTATTGGCTTGTGCACTTTCTGCTTCGTCAAGGCGGGTCAACTTTTGGGCTGCTGCGCCCAGACCGGCCAGCGTCACGCCCACGCAGCGGCCCTCCGCACACTTATTTTATCCCTCTAATAATACTCGAGCAGAAGTGCGGGAGAGAAAGGACTGGTGCCTTTTCTCCTCAGGCGTTTGCCTGCCGACTCCACTTTGCCGCTCAAGCTGGTGTTCCCACTCTGCCGCTTGTCTGCCGCTGATCCACCCTGCCCATCCCCTGTATTTTTGCGGGGAGTGGTTCTCCAGCCCGGGCCTTCAGCCTCTTGACTGCCTTGCCAGGAGAAGCCCACCAGCCACGTATGGCGGCCTTTTGGGGCTGGATGCATCTCTGGGAACAGGCCTGCTTCTGACTGCAGAAATGGTGGTCTGTGAGCCACTAGTTGGGCTTCCTGGAGGGACCTGGAGGCACGTACCCCGTGCTCCAGCTCGTGCACTTAACATAGGCGAAACAGCCTTCCCAAAGACGGGCTGTCCGGGTTTGCCTTTCCTCTAAGCTTTAGAAGCTTTCCTCAGTGAACTGTCTGAGTATGGCTGTTAGGAGTAGGCAGGACTTGGGCTGGGGCCCGGGGTGCGGTCGCCGCTTTTACCTTGCTCGGCTTCCATCCTTTCCTCCTGCGTCCCGGCAGGAGCCGATCCCACTGGAGTGCCGCTCGCTTCAGCCCAGCCCTTTTGCCAGCAGAGCAGCGCGTTCCTCCTCCACTTGGCCTGCTTGGGGCAGCGCTCCGTAAATGGCCTTCCTCTGTTCTTGCTGCGACTCCAGTCCCTTGGAGCTGGCGTGCTCCCCCTCGAAAGCGTTCTCAGTGGAGCGGGAGGGCCAGGAGCCCCACGCAGCTTGCGTGGCTGTCGGCTGCCTCCTTTGCATGCCTGCGAAGCCGGGGACACGCCAGTGCATAATGGTGATCGAGGCAGCTTGCCAGGTTCGCTTTGTGGATTTCTCAAGAGAATGGCGTGACTTGGCGTGGACCATATGCCTGGAAGGGAGAGATGGAGAGGGCCCGTTACGGCGTCTTTAGAGACGCATGATTGTTGCTTGGTCCCCCTGGCCTGGTATGCTTTCCTCCCTTCCTGTGGTTTCAGAGTTGCTCACTTTGTATTCTGCAGTGCAGCTCTTTGCAGCTCTCCTGCTCGTCCACTGCACTTAGTAGCAGCAAAGAGAGGCAGGAGGGAATCCTGTTTTATTAATTATTTCCATTTTGGTCAGCCGCATTGAACGGGCAGCTGCAGGAAGCTTTTTATTTTGGTACTCAGTCACCAATCCCAATTGCTCAAAAACAAGTCTTGTTTTTCCAAATTTTACCAGACCTCACTGTTCAAAAAAGACTGTGGCAAGGAGCTAGTAGTGTCCCTGGGGTAATGTTGGCAGAAACCAAAGTTCGTAGCATTGGCAAAAGTGAGCTTTCCCCCAGGATTCTGACTCCACCCTTCCCGTTCCAAGGGCGGCTCAATTTAGGGGTTGGACGGATCTAAAATTCAGCAACATATTCAGCAGGTTAGTCTTCATTTTTCTCTTTGTTCAGACAGTATTCCTTTGACGCGCAAGTTTACTCTGCTTCGACACCTGAACCCAGCCTAGCTTCCAAGGCAACAATAAGAACAGGCGTTCTCTCTGGGAGAAACGGCCACATACTTCGACCTCCTCTAGCACAGCGGGTTTGGCTCTCTTCCCTCCAAGTCATAGCTCCGTTTCAGGCTCTCCGAACAGTGGGAATCTCGAAGTGAAAATGTGCTTCTCCCACTAAGGTAGCACCTCCGTTGCTTTGAAGGCATCGGCAGGGCTGGCAGCACTGCTTCTAGACTAGCACTGCGCTTCCGTGGTGCCCTGTCCCTTTCTTTCCAATAAGCTTCGTCCTGCGTTTCATTTTCTCCTTCAGCTCTTTCAGAAATGCTTGTCACGAGCACCCGTGTAGACTTAACTGACAAACAAGAGAACATTCTCTTCCCCATTTTTGCAGTCAGACCTGACATTTCCCAAGGAAATTTTGTTTGTTATGAAAGAAAGTGTCCCTGTGTCCCACACACACACTCTCCCCCTCTCCCTGGACTGGAATCCTTGTCTCCTTTTCTAGAGAAGTTCCCAGTTTCTTCCCACAGCAAGGCCGAAGCAAGGTTCTTCCTGAGCAGTATGAATCCTACTGCCCAGGTCCCCAGCTGCTTCTGCATCAGGGCACGCTTGACCTTTATGGAGAGTGAATTCTGGGCGCCCTTACAAAATGGATGCCATGCTGGGTCACAAAGCTCTCCTTGCCCGGAGAGCAAACTGGTGAGGCTAAGAGGGAAGCAACTCTCCCAAGAACCTCACTCTGGACACAGGTGGAGTCTGAGCTTCCAAATCATGAGAAGTAGTAGTTCCTCTATACTCCTCACTGGTCAGTCCTCACCTGGAGTACCGTGTCCAGTTCTGGGCACCAAGATTTAAGAAAGATGCAGAAAAATTAGAAAGGGTCCAGTGGAGGGCAACAAAAATGATCCAGGGTTTGGAAACGCTGCCCTGTGAGGAGAGACAGAGAACTGGGCATGCTCAGCCTTGAGAAGAGGAGGCTGAGGGGGACATGAGATCCCTCTATAAGGACCTCAAAGGTTGTCACAAAGAGGAAGGCCAAGATCTCTTCTTGCTGATGCCAGAATGCAAGACACAGAATGATCAAGTTGCAACAACCTAGATTTAGGCTGGACGTCAGGAAGAGCTTCCTCACTGTCAGAGCAACACAACAGGGGAACCAGCTGCCTAGAAAGGTGGTGGGCTCTCCCACACCAGAGACATTCAGAAAGAAACTGGACGGCCACCTGAGTGGGATGGTGCAACTTGGTGTCCTGCAACAGCAGGGGGTGGACTAGATGGCCTTCATGGCCCCTTCCAACTCTACTATTCTACAGTTCTATTAGCACCAAGCAGGAAGCTCATCTCTTGAACCCCAGTGCAAAGGGTGCAATGGCATAACTGCACTGCTGCACCCCCCCCCCTTGGAATCGTGACATCTGGACCCTGCCGAGCAGTGGGCTTCCATGGCCTCCTGTTCTGAGGATTTCTGGCTGGCTGTGGCTTGTTGTAAAGTGCATTTGGACTCTCTTTTCTCTTAGGATATGAACAGGCTTGCATTACAAGGTGCATCAGATGGGCACGGATTCCCCCTGCCAAGGAAGCCTGAGAAATTCAATTCCAGAAGAGGACTTGCTGCAAACCCTAAATTATTACATACGCCCATATTGCTGAAACTTATATGTGAGAAGGACCCATATATCCCCCCCGCCCGAGCATTGTTTAGTCTTCATGGGCAGTAAACAGGAATGTTGCTGCGGTTCCCTTCTCTCCCACAATGGAAGCATCTGAACAAATTGTTCCTTTGATGCCACTCTTAAAACAGCGATATCAAATGCAGGGTTGAGTAGCACAGAAAAATGCATGCAAGAGGATAAATAAACTGACGAGAGAGAAAGAAGTCAATCCAAAATTGGCTGCCAAAGAACAAAAACTTGTGCAGGGAAACTGGCTCAATAATATCGAGAAGCAGGCGCAGGAGGGAGATCTGAATTCCAGGGAGTGGTACTGCCCACCCGAGCGGCAGCAGAGAACTCTTTGTGATGCTCATAAATTGAATTTATTGACTCCTCTTTCCTTCCTGCCTTGATCGCAATCAGCACGCCTTGTCATCTGCGTGCTCCTTATTTCGCACTCCCTAATCTCCCGGCTCTATCTCTTCCTTAGAAAAACCTTACGAGGCTGCTAATATTGAGGGTTTTGGCGGTGGCTGTCTTTTGAGTTAAATCTCTACCTGAAGTCCTCTCAGGGCAGTTTGATAAACTGGAGTGTTGTGTAGATACAACACGTATGCACACACACCCCATCCATGCAGAGGAAGAGAGGCAACCGTGGTTTATTACAGTCCTTCGAGGAGAAAGCAAGGCAGTTATCCGCAGTTAAAAGTTAGAAAAATACAATATTACCGATTCCAAGGCCTGCTCTTAGCATGGAACTCTGCGCCACTGCAATCTTTCAGTGTGGAATTCTGTTTTTATAGCGCTCTTCTATGTTGCAAGCAAGCAAGCAAAAACCCCTTTTGATTCTGAACAGAGGAATTCTTTTGCATTTGTTCTTTGAGTTGTTGGCACTGATTATTGTTATGATTGTGTTTATTTGCCCAAAAGCATATAGATCCTGGGGGACTGCTGCGTTCTGCCTGCAGCTGATGTGCTTGCAGTTCCTCCGGAAGTCATTGCAGTGAAAAATCTGGCAAATGTGCAGGACGATGTTTGTAACTGAACACCCATCAATTAGCACGTTTTCTCAGCAATTAATCCAAAATGTTGCAGGTGCAGCTGCTGCTGCCGCTGCTGCTGCCGCTGCTGCTGCTGCTGCTGCTGCTGCTGCTGCTGCTGCTCCTTCAGAAACTCATCTTCACAGTGCCATTCTGGGCACCCCTCATGGTGGGAATTCTTTTTGCGTTCAGCAGTCTGTGAGTGATGGGCAGCTGCCTGAATTTTCTCGCCTCACCTGGCTGATCTCCGGAGGGAAGACGCGGGCTCCCACGTCTTACCTTGCATCCGGTCTCCCCTCAACACACCTCTAAAATGCACTACGTTCATTTCGGCAGCGCTTAAATTTACGTGCTGCTGAATATTAAGAGCCAAGCTGTGCGTTGTGACCATTGGACTAAGTATGCGCAAGCGCAGGCCAGGCAGCTGAGATTTCTGACGTTACCCCAAAGGCAGGCCCGGAGGCCCAGGGGGTGGGGAGAGCGGGCACACCAAGCAGCGGGGTTCCTGGGTACCTTCCCCCTGCTGTTCTTATCCTCAGTTTCTTTTAGCAGCCAGTTGTCATTATGGGATGTGAGTGTGGATGAGAAAAACAGGCCAGAGTAGAGAGCCAGTGTGGTGCAGTGGTTAAGAGCCTGGGACTAGGACTCAGGCGATCCAGGTTCGAGTCCCCGCTCGGCCATGGAGCCCACTGGGTGACTTGGGGCCAGTCACAGACTCTCAGCCCAACCTGCCTCACAGGGTTGCTGTTGTGGGGATACGATGGAGGAGGAGAATGATGTCAGCTGCCTTGAGCCCTTTGTCGGAAAAAGGCAGGATATAAATTGAAAAATACAAATAAAATAATAAATAAAGGCGAAGGATCCACACACTTCCGTCTTCCCTGCCTCTGTTGCGGGGAGATTTGGGGCTCCCAACAGGCTCAAGGCCTGGCTTGTAAGTGGGCTGTCTTGCCGTGTGCAATCAGGCTGCTTTGGCCTCCCTGTCGCAAGGCGGCTTCTGTTGTGCGCTTGCCAGCCAGTCATGCAGGGTAAAGGCATCCCTGGCCGGCCACCGTGGCCGCCGTGACCCTTTAGAGACCTCCTCACCTGCTGACAAGCCGTCAGGGCAGCGTGCAACAGTTGACGACAGCGACCTGTACTTTCGAACACCCAGTTTGGCTTTCTGGAGGGGAGATTTCACGCTTGCTGTTTGCGTTCCCTTGCAGAGCTTGGCCGGCAGAGGAGGATAAAGGCTGCTCCGCACCCGGTGCCGGTCCATCGGCTCCCATTCCAGCCGCAGAACGGGGTGCTTCAGTCACAAGCAATCCAGCAGCCCAGCCGCAGCGCAGGCGGGGAGAACGCACACGTCCCGAGGGGCCAGATCAGGACCGGCGGGCCCCGCAGCTCATCGGCCCAGGCCGGCCCCGCCTCTCACCCCGCTGGGGGTGGCACGTCCGAGGGCAGCTGGAAAGCCCCCTTCTCACCGGTTGAAGGAAGGCAACGCAGAAACCTTTTGGCGACCTTGGGAAGGTGGGCAGCCGCCCCCCGATGCTGCCGTTTCCGCGGCAGAGACCGCTTGCGCTGCCAGGCGCGTCTCTGGACCTGCCCTGCCTGCCTTCTGCGCTCCTCTAAATGTTGTGTTTTCCTTTGCATAATCATGAGGATGTGGGTTTAATTTATTGCCAAAATTATGTCACCGAAAGGGTCATCCATCTTCCCCTCTGCTGGAATCATGTTTCTGAAGCCTCCATTGCGCGGGAGTTCATTGATTGCAAATTATAATTGTAATAAGGCATTTGATTACATTGTAACGGTAACCTGCGATTGTGTGGCGTTGCGGCTGCTAAATACTGACAGTTATGTTCTCTCAGTATCAGTAATAAAACGTGTTTTGTGAAGGGAAGGGACGCGGCTTCTGCCTGGCGTGTTCTTTGTGTGGTGAAGGATGGGCAGGCCTGGTCGCAGGGCACCGTGCGAGAAGCACTTCCTCTGGTGAAACACCTGGGAGAACCGTTTCTGCCAAGACAATATCGGGACGCGTTTCTCAGTGCCCAGTCTTGGGAGCTTCATGAGTTGCAGGTGCATAATGCTACCCATCCGGATGTCGCAGGTTTGTGGGCTGTGTCCAGCCCTGCATCCGGCTCTGGGTATCACAGTCGAAGAAAGATGCAGGCAAGCTGGAAAAGGTTCCGAGGAGGGCTACAGGGATGATCTGGGGACCGGAAGCAACGCCCCATGGGGAAAGGAGAGCGCATCTTTGCTCTGACAAATCTTATTTTGCCAGTGCATCAACCCCGTTCCCATCTGCAGTTGGCTACATATTTTGGCACCTCCATCCAGATTAGCTCTCATGTGTTAGTTGAAGTATTTAGATCCCACTGTTTAGGCTTGCTTGAGCATTGCAGAGCAATTTGTAAAATAAAAATATAAATATAATTAAAACAGTCAGCCAAACTGGGCAATAGAAAACACTGTGGTATAAAGTCAGAAGTTCAGCATGTCACCAGATTTAATGGCAGCTCTTCATTGCTAACCTAAGGACCCAGGTAGGTTTGTGTGTCCGTACAAGTTCCTTGAGGTACCAAGGCCCTGAGACTCTGAGAAGGCAATGCCAGTGTTGCAAAGCGAGCCCAGAACTATGCAGCTGACACAAGATAAGTCACAGTGCACCATCTCGTCTTGGTATCCACAGTTTGAGCCCACCTGGACTGGGAGCCATGGAAAGCCGCCGCCTCCATGCATTTGATTCGCCCCTTTTTAAAGCCGGCTCCATGGATGGGCAGCCCCTCCGTCTTGTGGAACTGAATTCCATAGCTATGTGAATGAACAGGTGCTTCCTTTGATCTGGATTCTCCTACCCTCTGCCTTGACGAAATGAAACGGCCCTTGCGTCTCCTTCGCCGTTTTCTCCACACCAGGCACAGCTCTGCACACCTCACGCTCTTCCATCTCTTGCCTTTTTTCTTAGAACAACTCAGTAATTTATTAAATTTATAGACTGCACCTCTAGCCCTGTTAGGCTCTCTGGTCAGTGTACGTTTCATTAAAACCAACAATAAAATGAACGGTTCCGTAAAATGCAACAATACGGACAGAGTCTAGCAGCTTAAAACATGAATTTTAAAATTTACAAAATATTTTAAAACAAAAAGCAATTATTAAAATACCTGGGGAGTTAAAATGGTCTTTGCCTGGTGCTGAAAGGCTAGTAATTTAGGCACTGGACGGACTTGTTCTATTCTGGAGCCTATTCCAGAGCTGAGGAACAACCACCGTTGTAACATTTCCTCACGGGAGCGGCTCCAGCCCCTTGATCATTTTAGCTGCTCCTTTCTGCACCTCTTTTCAACTCCACAATACCTTTTCTAGGCACTGGCCAGCTAGAGCTTGCAAAAGGCAATCTAGCTTCAAGGTCACTCGGCCACCCAGTGAGAAGCATCAAACCCGCAGAAGCCAAAGGCCTACTTAATTCTCAGCTCAAAACATGTGACGCAAAAACAGCAACTGTGGTCTTCCACTCTTTTTTGCAATGTTTTTAAATTATATCCAATTCATGAAGTAAATCAATGTACAGGCATTGCATATAAACATCCCTAGCACTGAAAAACCCCCCAGCCGTTCTTTACGGTTCTTTTCAGATGGAAATGAAGAACGTTTTCTGAATAAGAGCCCTTTTTTACTATCATGAGTGTTGTGAGACTCTACATTTAACCAGTTAAACTGTTCTCGATTGCCTTCCTGCTGCCAGGCTGCCGCCTGTGTGAACCCGGGTGCTGCATGTCCTCAATTCGCTGCGGATGTGGGGTTGCGAGGACCGGCTGCGCCCCCCTTGCAGGACTTGGCCACAGAGGAATGTGGGGCCCGCACCTTTGAGCTGATGCACGCTGCTTCCGAGACAGCTGAGGGGTTCTCCCAGAAGGCTCATCGGTGCGAAGCCAACCGCGGGGTGATCTTCAGTGACTGCTCAGCATCTCCCAGCATCCTCATCAAACGGGATCCAGCTCTAGCTCCCACAAGAAACATGGCAGCCAGATCTAATTTGGTGAGGGAGAGGTCCATGGCCAGATCCAGGATGGTGTGCGTGTGCCCTTCAGCCAAAGCCATCTGGTGTGCCCCTCTCTGTGGCAGGAGTGAGTCTCTGGGAAGCCACCATTTTAATTTCCCTGGGCTCTACCCTGGACATTCCAGAGCACTGTGGGAAATTAAAATGGCAGCTGCCCAGCGTTGGGACCTGGACCACTCTTCTTCCTCTGTTTTAGGGCACCATCCCTGGCAGTGTAGTGGAGGTCTGTTTGGGTGTGTGGAAGGCCGGGTATTGGCAACACCCTTCTTAGCACCCAGCCTTTTCCAGAATTTGGGTGGACTACACGGAAAGTACGCATTTGCAGTGTAGCTATATCCTCCCGTTCTTACCCTTCTCCTGCACCCTGCATGATTACTTGTCACTTTAAAGTAGGAAAAATCTGCTGCCTCTGGTGTGACCCCCCTTGAGGGCTCCCTCTCCTCCTCCTCTCCCTCTCGACATCCATTTCATTTAAATCCCACCTTTCTTCTGCTTGCAAGGAACCCAAGGTGGATTTCGAAGGTGCTCCACGCCTCTGTTTTAGCCACAGAACGGGAACCCCGCAAGGTGGGTTAGGCTGAGGGTACATGACCAGCCAAAAGTCACCCTGGCAGCATCATGGTAAGTGGGCACTACAGCCCGGATCTCCCACCTCTCCAGTCCAACGCTCGCTACCGCACTCACAAGAAGTTGGCCCAAGTCCACCTGGCTGACCAGTCCCGCTCGACCTGCTGTCCTTCGGGCTTGTAACACTATCACGTGACCAAGAGGACTGTGCTGACCAGGTTTGATGAGAGCTGTGCACAAACACGTCTAGATTCTCCCGGCTGTGCTAGGATTTGGAACATACTTCGAGTCATCCTGGAGCAATATCCAGACCCCAAAATCCAGCCAGGCCCAGGCCCAGGCCCAGGCCCAGACTGGCACTGCCCTGCCCCAAGGTTTCAAGATGGCTTCCAGGTGCTGAGCTGCATTCCGATTCTTCCACTCCTTTGAGGAGTCCTCCTCAGCATCCTTTAAAATGAGCAGTTCTCTCCCAAAATACATCCAGGGAAGGAGCATCAGTCGGTTTTCCTGGAGCAGACGTCCGGAATGGCTTTCTACTGAGCCCTCCCCCGGTGCCTCCCCCCTGCACTGGTTTCTGCCCAGGGCCCCAGCCCGGAGTGGAACTCCTTGTCTTTCCGTTCCCTGCAGGTCACCCTCTTCTAAAAACAGACAAGCAAATCCCGAGGATTGGAATGGGTATCTCCATGTAACTGAAAGGGCGGGCTTGGCCGGAGGTTGCCCACCTACTCCTGTTTATTTACCTGGTCTAATTCTCTAATTGGCAACAGTTGAACGGCAGCATCCGACACAGCCTTGTGCACACCTGGAGACCTAATTGGTATTCAGAAGTGCTTGCAGCAGCTCTCCTGCGTTAATTACTGAGTTGCTTTGTGATTACAGTTTAATTGATGGGATTTCATATGTGTGTGTGTGTTTTCAATGGGGCGAAGAAACGGAGGTGAGTTCCATGGTGTGCGTGAAGCCACTCGTGACTCCGGGAGGAAAGGATCTCGCCCAGGGTACGTTAACTTGGCGCACCAGGTGGACAGCACCTGCGGGGACGGGTGTTCACGCAGGGACCTGATGGTGTGTTTATGAATTGGCTAACCT